GCGGCCAATTCATCAGAATAGGCTAAAAAACCACACTATAATATCGTCCGATTTATAAGCTAATTATCTGCGTTGAGAAAAATATAGAAAGTTTGATTTTTCCGGGAAAACCAATATGGCCTGGGAAATGGGGAGTATCAAGGTCATTGGACAGGACTTCTCTTGGGCCCAGAATAATAAGCTGTTTACAAGCTTTTTTTCTGCGCCACCAAAAAAATTTGCTCCAAGATTTGGAGCGAAAAGTCGATCCCTCGCATTTAGGCCAACACGTAAGAGGCGAATTCGTCAGAATGGGCTGGGAAAACCGTCCTACAGTATCCTCCGATTTATAAGCTAATTATCTGCGTTGAAAAAAATATTAAAAAATCGATTTTTCCGGGAAAACCAATATGGCCTCCCGTTGAAAACATTAAAAAATTCTGAAACTCGGAGAGTAACTTCAGAAAACTTCCGTCAATTTTGCCAAACCCCAATAGTTTGAAGGAACAGCAATTAAACCCCCTCATTAGCTGACTAATGAATTAAAAAATCAGTTTGAAGACTACATTCTATTTTTTCTTTAATGAAAATGGTGAATCTAAGGGGGCACATTCAGAAACCCTTCCCTCAGTTTGCAGAAGCTCAATAATTTCCCGAATAAGTAATGAAGCAATTAACTGCTAGGTCTTCAACATGTTTTTTAAAATTAATTATTCAACTAATTAGGGGCCTAATTGCTGTTTCTGCTATTTATTGGGGTTTTGCAAACTTGAGGGAAGGTTTCTGAAGGTACTCCTCGAGTTTCAGAATTTTTCCATTTATTTCACGAGATTTAGTCTTTGACATGTTTTTTTAAAAATTAATTAGTGAACTAATTAGGGGTCTAATTGCTGTTTCCGCTTCTTATTGGGGTTTTGCAAACTTGAGGGAAGGTTTCTGAAGATACTCTCCGAGTTGCAGAATTTTCCCACTTTTTCAACAGGATTTAGTCTTCAACATGTTTTTTTCTAATTAATTAGTCAACTAATTAGGGTTCTAATTGCTGTTTTTTTCATTTATCGGGGATTTGCAAACTTGAGGGAAGGTTTCTGAAGGTACTCCCCGAGTTACAAAATTTTTCCATTTTTTTTCACGAGATTTAATCTTGAACATGTTTTTAAAAATTAATTAGTGAACTAATTAGGGGTCTAATTGCTGTTTTTGCTATTTATTGGGGTTTTGCAAACTTGCGGGAAGGTTTCTGAAGGTACTCCCCGAGTTTCAGAATTTTTACATTTTTTTCACGAGATTTATTCTTCAACATGTTTTTTTAATTATTAGAAAATAATTATTATAGTTTTAGATTTTTTTTGCATTTGCAATCTTTAGAAAGAAGTCGCGGAATTTGCAAAGCCTTCGGATTAGCAAAAAATGTATGCAAAGCATCTTTATCTATGGCTTTGCTAGCTCAATAAAAACCTGGCAAGGACCCAAAAAACAAAAAAAAACAAAAAAGAAATTTTTTTTTTATCAGATAAAATTCAGGAAAAACTCCCTACTTCTGTTACAATTGACCAAATTCGAGTTTTCCACTTTGGCTTTGCCAGCTTTTCATACCTGAATGGGTTGAATGAGAACCCGTTTTGAAAAAATTTTGTTCATTCAATGCCAACAAAGCAACTGTAACTAATTCCTCCTAAATATTCAGAATGTTGGTTTCATACGATCCCACATTAGTGTTAAAATCACAGAGTATTCATAGACTAAAAATTTGGATGCTTGAGGAGTAGATAATCATTCTCCCGGTGTTTGCTCAAGTTCCGAGACTATGAGAAAAGAATGAAAACGGAAAATCGAAACTATTTTAAACTTTTTCTCGACACAGATAATTAGCTTATAAATCGGAGGATATACGGGGATGGTTTTCCCAGCCCATTCTGATGAATTGGCCACTTACATGTTCGCCCAATTGCGAGGAATCGACTTTTCGCTCCACATCTTGGAGCAAATTTTTTTTGGTGGCGCAGAAAAAAAGCTTATAAACAGCTGATTATTCTGTGCCCAAGAGAAGTCCTATCCAATGACCTTTATACTCCTCATTTCCCAGGCCATATTGGTTTTCCCGAAAAAATCGATTTTTTAATATTTTCCTCAACGCAGATAATTAGCTTATAAATCGGAGGATACTGTGGGATGGTTTTCCTAGCCCATTCTGACGAATTCGCCTCTTACGTGTTGGCCAAATGCGAGGGATCGACTTTTCGCTCCAAATCTTGGAGGAAATGTTTTTTGGTGGCGCAGAAGAAAAGCTTGTAAACAGCTGATTATTCTGGGCCCTAAAGCATCCCGTTCCGATGACCTTGATTTTCCTCATTTCCCAGCCCATATCGGTTTTCCCGGAAAAATCAAACTTTCTATATTTTTCTCAACGCAGATAATTAGCTTATAAATCGGACGATATTATAGTGTGGTTTTTAGCCTATTCTGATGAATTGGCCGCCTAGATTGATGCCCAAATTCGCAAAATCGATTTTTCACCCATAAAAAATGTGCAGATTTTTTTTGGTTTGCACAGAAAAAAAGCATGTAATTTGGAGCTATTGACCGAGACGATCGGAGCACCCTGGCTGCCCAGCTTGACGGAGCTCCGTACATCACTTGGTCAGGTTTTCATCAGGCATCATCTGATCATGTCTACCTGATCAGAACTTGATCTGAACCCGCCTGTAGTTTTTCGGATCCGATCTGCTGGATCAGAACTTGGTCAGGTTCTCATCAGGCATCATCTGATCATGTCAACCTGATCAGAACTTGATCTAAACCCGTCTGTAGTTTTTCGAATCCGATCTGCTGGATCAGAACTTGGTCAGGTTCTCATCACGAATCACCAGATCAGTCGAACCTTACAAAAACCTGATCAAGTTCTGATCGTGCTTCAGGTGGGCCTGAAACAATTTCCACTCGGGAAAGCGAAGTGTTACTCACAAGAATTCACATTACGTAGGAACCTTTGAACTTTAGGCATGTTGTGTTTCGAAAAATGAACTTGTTCACCCGTGGGCTTTTCCATTTTCGGCTGGTGATCGACCACATCTCATAAATTAATAAAATGAGATGGACAGACTAACTATAACTTATCACTTCACACAATAAACGCTCAGTGTAAGTTAACCCCTGGAAAGAGTACTTCAACCCTTCTTGGGGTTGATTTAACTCCATTCAGGGGAGATCCCGCTAAAGGTTGAAGCACACAGAATTTGGGTGTTAATTATATCTTATCTGGGGATAATATACACCTGGGAGTTCGGTTTCGATTAACCTAATTTTATGGTTTAGTCACACCCGAGATGAGGGTAGAATTTATATTTGAAATAAATTTAGTTTCATTTAGAATTTGCATTCGATTAATATCCCTAGTGGAGCTCCATACACAGTACTGTTACCGCCAAAAGTCGAACAAAACGTTTATCCTAATTTGTGTTGCGTGGTTTAAAAAGGCAAATGAAGTAAGAAATTGAAGTTTAATTCTTATTGTTATTTTCATTGCTCAACCATAATTGCTTTCAAGGAATTAATAAACGAATGCAAATACAATGATATTGAATGACAACGAAATAAAAATGTTAAGAATTGTCTACGATCATAGGAAGGATTTATTTCCCCTGAATAAACTTCACTTGAATCAAACAAATGGGTTAATTTGAATAATTGGTGATGAAGTTGTCATTTAATGTAGAATTTAATTTTTATTCGTGTTTTTATTCACATCAAACAAATTTTTTTTTTGATATGAACAAATTTTCCCTGTATCGAAATAGAAATACCGTCAGTTACAAATGAAATCCTTTTCTCAACGGTAATGAGCATGGATTAATTAACATGTAATAATTCTTTATTTGAAACAGGGGAATTGTTCATTTGATTTTAATAGGAAATTCATTAGGAGTTATTGAATGATTTTTCTCATACAATTAAAACCAATACATTGAAAGAAATATGTGGACGTCCGCATGAAAAGGGACCACTTTGGCACTATTAGAGTTATGTATATGCCGATAATCTTGATCTGATTCTGCAAATTTAGAGCCAAAAATGAACTTGATATCGTAAAGAGTGACGACGCTATAGACAATCGAAAAAATAATTAACATGGGTTTAAATGGGAGTAGACAAGAGAAAAACGTGAATATCTCGGAAAATAGAATCGACAAAGTGGTCCCTTTTCATGCGGACGTCCACATATATGAATTAATTAATCCTCATAACTCATATTGTTGAAATTATTTGGTCATATAACTCCTAGGCTGTTGGGTCTTTAATAAATAAATTACAAATAATAATTCACAAACATGGAGTGTTCCGAAAGGATTATCGCTTCGAAAACAAAACGGCTGTGGTGAAATAAATATCAAATGATTGTCTGTTTCCTGATCTGAAAATCTCTCCGAGATAGATTTATGTGTTTTTGAGGGATTCGACTGTCAGGGACAAACGACTGATTACTCTAAAATACCCACATTTGCCGTATAATCACACGTGAAAAAATTTAATAGCGGTCTATTGAAATTTCTAGTAGTTTTTGGCCGGTTCTGTTGAAATGATCAATAGAACATATTCTATAGAAAAAGTCAATAGAATTCAATTTTTCTTTAAAACTTCTTCTATTGAGATCTTTTTTATAGAATTTTCTCGGCTCAAATTTTCTAAGTTTTCCTCATTCTATTTGTCTGTTCTTTTCATCAAGAAAATCAACCAAAAAACTTGAAAAATTTGCGCCAGGGAAATTCCGTAGAAAATATCTCACTAGAATAAGTTCTATACAAAAATCGAATTCTACTGACTCTTTCTACAGAATATTTTCCATTGAATATTTCAATAAAATCGGTCAAAAACTGATAGAAAGTTCGATAAAAATTCAATAGAATTTTCTAGCGAATTCGCTAGGTTTTTCTATTAAATTTTCCTTTGATGAAGAGTACCAAATTATTGCTATTTTATCATAATCGACTAATGACATTTTTTTAATGTTTAATCTTTTTCAGATACGGAACTATAACTTCTACAAAGGCGATTCTGGACAAAAATACAAATAAATGTAGAGGTACTTGGTTGGATTATCACACTTTTAAGTTGGTCTCATTTACTCACCATTGCCATTGTTTCATTATTTCTATTTGTAGTTTTTGTTGTCAATGAGTCACGCAAAATGTGTCCATCCCTTTCATGCCTCATGAGAATTTCATTTCCTTCTCGCATTATGCATCGAATGATGTATTTTTTCTTATTTAGAATAGGATTCTACACATGGTGTGCATTAATCTCCTGCTTTCAGTTTTATTTAAATATTTCACCTGCTTCTTTTCAGATAAAATTTACGTAATCAATAAGTCAGGTTCAATTCAATTGAGTTCTGCAATCGATAACTTTGGAATTTTTTCCCAGAGGATCTCGAGTAATTTTTTGGATTCAATATAGAAGAGATTTATAGATTGCTTTGAAAATATTTGACAAAGTAAAATGTTCAAGGAAATAATGTCAAGGCATCTTATTTGTAGAGAATTTTATTGGCCAAACAGAAAAAGTCTTCACATCTGTTGATAAATGTACATGTTCTGGTGATAGAGAAAAATAATAAAAATTATGAGGACATGCATTGCTGTTGGCCATATTTGAGAATTTAAAAAAAATCACGAATTTCATAAAAAATTTGAAATTTGCTTCGATTTCCGTCCACTTGGACACACTAGAAAGTATCAATTTTTTAAAGGTATTATTTACATAATTCCGAATTTGTTTTTACTTAAAATTTGCGTTGAATGATTCAAGGTTTAATGATGTCATGCTTACTCTATTAAATGTTGACAATTTTCCTGGTTCTTGGCAAAAATCAATATACTACTGTTTTCTGTGAAGATTGCATTCTAACAATTCGAATTCAATAAGCTTCATTTGGCATAAAGCATCGCATTGAGTCCAATATTTAGTATTGGATCTCATATTTTTCAACGAACTCATAACACGATGGCTGTCCATCAATAAAGATCATTGTTGTTTATAGAATCCTTCAATAATTATCTAGCTTAATGTGGTGGAATCGTTATCAATTTCATTACCTATTATTCTATTGATTTACAAAAGCCATTTTTTAGCGAATATTTTAAAAATTCGTTTAGTAGGAGATCCCGTGACATTTTTAAAACTGAGAAAATTTCATATTTTTGAAATTCACTTACGGCAATAGTAACATTAAGTTTATGTATATTAACAACCTGCATGGAATACATGACGGAATGACTTCCATCATGAATTCATAAATATTTGTGTGCGTCCATATTGAAAGGACCCACTTTTACAATATTGGAGCTATATATCATATTAGACTAATCGTGGTTGAGAACTACACATTTTCAGCAGAAAATGATCCCAATAGTGTAAAAATAACATCACTATCGAAGATGTCAAAAAAATTAAATTACAAAAGTCAAGACTTCTTTCGAGTTACGCTACACTGCTAGAATAACCGCAGAGTTCTCAAACGAGTCTCACTTGTGCCAAAAACATCGTTTGTTAAGAATGATTAAAAAAGGATATTTCGTTGTTATTGAAAGCAAAGCAATTCTTCATGTTTGAGACTTTCAAATTCGAACCAAACAATTATTTTTTTTTTGTAATTTTCAACTAACGATTTTCTTGGCTTAGCAAGACTTGTTTGAGAATTTGTTCCTTTTTCTCTCAGTGTAGCTGAATGAGAGGAAAACGTTCAATAATTCAATAAGAATGATCGTATCCGCAGTTATCAATACCACAGATGCAAGTTCTTTACACTCCAAGTATCATTAATTACGTTTAATGTTTATTTATTTTTTCAAAAGATATTTGTACTGAAGATAATAACCTTGTATGTTACCAGATATAATTTCTACAATTTACTATATTATGCAGAAATTCCAACTGACCGTGATCAGGAATATTGTTCGGAAGGTGTTGAATTTTGTTGTTTCTTCAAACAATTTTTTTTAGTGAATAAAATGAAATTATCTCAAGTTGAGAGTTTTGGAAAAATTCATGAAAACCCAGTTTCTTTGAGGGGAGATTACTACGAGTTTTAAAAGTCGCGGGCTATTAGAATGAGATTTCTCATACATTGGAGATCGATAATATATATATATATATATATATATATATATATATATATATATATATATATATATTATCGATATATATATATAAACGAATAATTAGTGCAAACAAATTAATTGTTTATTGTTCGTTTGCCCCGCAGACGCTTAAAATCTTAAAAATAGACTAAAGCCTCCAATTTTTGAGCTACAGAGGTTTTTTTTTTTTTTCAATTTTTGAAAAAATGTGTACAATAACAATTACCAATTGGATTTTTGAAATTCAAGTCCTATTTTCGTTTCTTTGTTAATAAAAAATTGTGCCATTCATGTAAAATAGCCCGAGAAATGTTTCTGAAAGAATTGAGAATATATTTAAAACATGTTAAGGATAATTTTTCTACCTATTTTACATGAATGGTGCAAATTTTTATATTGAAAAAAAAAGAAAATTAGCTGTGTAGAAGTCGAATTCCAAAAAAAAAAATTCGTAATTGTTATTGTAGACATTTTGTCAAAAATTAAAAAGAAAAAACCTCTGTAGCTAAAAAATTCGAGGCCCTTTGAACATGTTAAGCGTCTGCGGGGCAAACAAACAATAAACAATTAATTTTTTTGCACTAATTATTCGTTTTTAGACATACACAATTGAGCTTCAATGCATGAGAAATCTCACTCCAATAGCCCGTGACGTTTAAAACTCATAGTAGTCTCCCCTTAATACTAATCGCCCCGTCACATATCGGCAAATTGGTTTGTGATTATTTTCACATCATGATTCAACATAGGCGACTACATTCTCTTTTTTTTTTACCGCAACATGTTACTTTTTTTTTCATCGACCTAGAGCAGTTCAAAGAGAGTGGGGCCCCCTTTCATGTGAACACACATATTTACTTATAATAAAAATGTAAATCAAAATTTAACAGAATAGAATGACATCATAATCAGTGTTTTTGATGAAAAATGATACATTTCGATTTCAGGTTATGGCTTTGTAGACTTTGAGTCACCGGTGGCGGCAGAGGGTGCCGTGAAAGCACTGGTCGCCAAGGGCATCCAAGCACAGATGGCGAAAGTGGGTATCTGGTTGCATCGTAGACTGGCCAGTGTACGTTGGTTGTGCATGCAAGTACAGTAATACCAGAGTAACAGTAAAACAACCTCTTTTTCTTCTTTTCTTTATCCACCAGTTCCTTCTCTCCCTTCAGTCATTCTAATTATTTTATTTTTGTTTATCTATTTATTTATTCCATATCCTCCCCTCCCTCTCATCATCCGCCTATGTAACCAGATCCAGAACCCATGGCCGTGGTCGAAGCTCTGTATGTTGTTTCATCAATTTTTGCGCAATGTTTTTAAAGATATAAAATATAAAAAAGATAATTTTTTTAACGAAAAAACTGATCAATTATTGAAAATAGTGATCCGAAATTATTTTAGATTTTATACAACAGAAAAAAGTATATTGAATTTGATTTTAATGGTACATTAGCTAAGAAGCACAATTTCGATAGTCATCTTTTAGATATATAAAAAGACTATTTTATGTGTTTTAAAACTGGGCTTGGAATATTGGAAATTTGGATCTGAAAGAGTAAGTGAGAAGGAGTGCTCTGAAATTAAACTGGGTTTGATTATAGGAGGGAATAATTGAGAACACTGAGTATTGTCACTGAGGCTTCCACTGTTCAAAGCTATTGACTACACGAATCACTGTACAAAATAATGTAAAACTGTCTGACTGCAGTTAGGCAGCGAATCGCAAAAACTCCACAATTATGCGACCTCACTGGAGGTCCTAAGGACAATAAAATTATACAATATGTTGCATTAGATTGATGAGAAACTCTAGGATCAATGCGTTAACGAACCACTCCGGATGAGTAAATCTAGCCATGTATTTGGCGTTATAACTCTGGGTACTGGAAAGCAAATTAGCTCGGGAGCTGAGTTGATACTGGGGATAAAAAGCGCGGGCGATTGCATAATCGAGACGTCGAACCTCTTTGACGAGGCTAGATGTCCATCAGTTCCCGGTGAGTACTGTCACTGGAATTGATGGCGGGTAATACCTCAACGAGAGTTTACTGGCAGGGAGCGGCGGGATTATTAACATTATGTCTGTGCAATATGTCATCTTTTGAAAGATGGTCAAAGAGATACCTCAAATTTATCAAAAAGTTATCTAAAAGACCGTTTTACCCAAAAATAACATTTTGCAAAAGACAGTCTTTTTGTTTGTTCGTTTGTTGGGATTTAACGTCACATCAACAGCTAGGTTATTAATGACGGGCTCTCGACTCTTTTTTGTCCTTACCCATGTAGCACAATACAAAGTGGCTGAACATCGGACTGAACTCGCCGCCGAGTTCCCCGATAATCGGCTGCGATCTTCGGCCGATGTTCCGCCGAACGTTGGGACGTGACTTTGGGCCATCAAAGACGCCGATGTACGCCCGACATTGGCGCCGATTATCAGCCAACCATCGGTGAAATAAAATTTTAAAATGCTATATGCTATCCATCGACTTTCCGGACCTCTATACGAGGGAAATAATTGAATAATTATCAATGCACAAATTAAAAAATTCGGAGGCACACGGGCTTGAACACAAGTGGGGTATGATCCCACATCTTCTGTTTGCCGGACAGGTGCTCTGCCAATTGAGCTATTGTGGCCTCCTCCGCATCTCCGAATTTCAGAACTTGTGCATATCGTCTCACTATCCCCACTCCCCCCCCCCTTCCCGTTTAAAGCCATAGTGAAATATCACAATCAAAGACATTTTATGACCGGTATATACCGGTCATAAAATTTTAAAATTGTTCGTACATATTTGTCCCAATAGTTTATAATCGTTTTATACACCTTCTTATCCATTCCTGTGAACCAAAAAAGAAAAAAAATGAAATTAAAAAAAAAATTGGCTCCGGTGGGATTCAACCGCCAGTCCTTCTGAGCTGTAGTCAAGCGCGCTGTCCATTGGGTCTTCTGTAATTTCTTATGAAGATGAATTTTTTTCGGGTATATAAATGCCACGTGTTGTTTTTGTTTGAAGCTCCGAATGCGGTTATCAACAATTAATTGACTAATGTGTTACTCCGATGAGAGGAGTTAATCAATTAATTTGCTATTCTTAAATTATTTAGACCGTTATTCGGGGTATCTACATATATCAATATTCTGTACATTAGGAGAGAGGATGGATGCATGCCATTCATTTGAAAAATATCCTATAAATATCAAGTCGGGACCCGACGTGTGGCGCGCGGATATTGGATCAGTGTTTGGCCTTTAATCAGAGCCCCGATGTTCGGCGAGCAGATATTAGGCCGATGTTTGGCCGTATCGTATATATCGGCACATCCTACATGGGTAGAACTCACGACAATTTCTTCTGTAATTTGTAGATTACGATGTTATGACAGTATTTCAAGTGAATGATCAGAATGCAATCACACATGATGGTGAGAATCAACTGTAGTCAGGCTCTCGAGACACGTGAAACTGTAGGTTGTATGTACATGATTCGAACATGTTCAATTCTATTTTCTCTGGGTATTTAACGATTTACTACAAACATTTTTAATATATACATATTGTTGTAGCTATATAAACCTTCTAGGTTTGGGTAAGCATAACAAAAAACATTCTTAATTGTATCCTTACATTATTTGGCTAAATCAAATAATCCAGAAATAATTCGCCGGTGCCAGGTTGTGAAGCCAAGACCTCTGGTTTTGTAGGCGGACACCTTACCGACTTGACCATACACCCGACTAAGACAGTCTTTTTGTATATCTAAAAAATAACTATCGAAATTGTGCTCCTTGGTTAAATATTCGACAGGAGGAGATTCTCTGACGAGACTCAGTTTATAATCACATTCGTCGAAAAAACCTCATTTTGCCTAGATCCGAACCAAGTGAGGTACAAATGCGTTTTCCAGCGCAAGCGCAGTAAGCTTTTGTGTTAAACACGCTAGTAATAGTATATTTCAGCACGTGTGGGGCAATTTCGTCTTTAACGTGTGTGGGGTTTACAGCATGAGCCGAAGGCGAGTGATGTAATCACACACGTTAAGGACGAAATTTCCCAACAAGTACTGAACAAAATTTTATGTCACGAAGCCTGAAACCGGCTGAATTAGACACGAGACGCGAAGCGTCGAGTGTGTAATCCAGCCGGTTTCAGGCATGAGTGGCAAAATGTTATTTTTAACGAATGTGACAAGTAAACCTTAGATTCGTCAATAAATCTCATTTCATGTTAAAAGAAACTACTAAAAAACGGAATAAAGCAATTTTTTTAGATACATTTGCTTTTTACTCTTCTAGAGCTATTTTTCTTTCTGGAAGCCAAAGTTTCGCATTTCTTTTCTTTTTAATTATCAAAGGAATTACGGAAAAGCGAAAAAATCTGTTCTCCTGAGATAAAAACCGCGAAAAATATTCAGAGAATATTTCTTTTCATGTTTTCGATTTATTGTCATATTTTCTCATGGTTTCAATTTTCCGATTTATAAATTTTGTATGGGTCTATAAAAAAGTCATTCATAAAATAGTAATGGCGATAATTTGGTTTTTGTTTTGTATTTTTATAGTTATCGAAAAACCATTTTTATTCTTACACCACAAATGTATCCCGCCTTTTCATTCCGCTTTGATTCATTCCCTTACACGAATCTCTCTACAAATTGAAACTTACCTCTGTCGATGCTTGCTGCTATACCTCGGCCAAAAATATACATGAAAATTGAAACAAAAAACGCTGCTACTTCCCAATATTTCGTAATTGCATTCATGCAGACACGAATTTAGTTCCATCAATCCCTCCGCCCTAAAGCATTTCTTCTCCAGTGAATTGGAATAAAGCAAAATCTGCCATACATTTACTCATTTGTCTTCTAAGAATTCTACCCAAAATTATCTCAAATTCTCTCAATTTTTATCGACGTATGGCAGCACAGAATCTTCAAGCAAAATTCCACAACTGAAAGGCAGAAATTTCTCAAGAATTTTCGAACTGAAAAAAAAAAATTAGAAAACATCCTCCATTCAATTATGAAAGATAGAGAACGAAATACAGAAATGGATTGAAGGTTTTCCACCTTAGAAAAAAACAAAAAAAGAATCATATGTTCTTCAAAAATGTAAAATAAACGAAACAATTTACTAACCCGGAATGGTTATTAAAATTTAAAAAATACATTACATACCCAGGCCAGGCTGACGATGTCTCAACTCGCATGTGATATGATTAAAAAAGACTGAATGAACCAGTACATTAACTATATATAGTTATATCCATAAATATGTATAATTTTTATTTTTTCAATTTTATTTATTTTTCTTCCCTTCGGTGTACACGCTGGAACAATTACCAATTGCCTAATGTATATCTCAGCCCATTAATTCATCCAGAACAAAAAAAATACCTACGAAGCATAGAGAAAAAGCATTGAGTATTCATTAACTAGCACTTTATTGAGGTAGAATCCAAGTGACATTAACAATTGTCTATCATCACGTTTTCATCTTCAGTGACATGGAAAAACGCATTCCCCTTTCATGATTAGAATGAGATGTTTGAGCATTCACGAATCTAATTTTTTTATGGCATACAATGCACATAAAATTAAAAACACAAATAACCGCATTCAAGCGACAGAAAGAAAATTCCTGTTGGAAACATGAATTCAGAAAACGAAAAAGAATTTAAAAAATTACCTCTTGAGCATCAATTTCGATGGAAACTTATACATTTAAAAAATTAATGTCTTAAACGTAAACAAATGCAGAAATAATGAATCAGAAACAAAATTGTTGAGGTTTTTAAATGGTGCATAAGGAGTGTCAAAAAAATTTTTAATTGAAGGTACAAAACTGGATCGATAAATGGCGAAACTGGCTATAAATTATAGATCGGTTCACGATATACAACTGAAGTTGCTTAATCATCTTCAGAATCTTTAGCGGGAAATACACTTAAGGATATCCAAGTACTAATTTACTTTTTTGTAGAGCGAATTAAGAGCTCCGAAAAAGGTTATTACGAAAATTTCGCTATCTCCCTTAGATTCAAAGATGTTCTTCGAAAACTGAGCTAAGAGCTAAATCGACTTGAACCATTTTACCGCTTCGCTACTGATTCTATAAATAATTTATAACCAATCAATTTTCCACCATAAAAATAATTTGTTCGGAATCGTAACAAATTCATTTATATTCAGAATTTTACCAGCAATCAATTTCATGCCTGAGGAAATAAAGTTTCCGAAAGTTTAAACAATTTCAATTATTTATTTGTAAACAATGAATATTTAAAAAATAATAATTCTATGCAAAATGTAATTTGATTGGCGTTGAATATTCATGATTTTTTTCAAATTTTTCTCACAAAATTTAATTTACTAATTGGATTATTGAAAATGGTTGAATATATAGTGTGGTCTGTACAAAACTGTAAAAGATCCTTGGATATCCTTAATAATTGGAATTAGCAGGGAAATTTGCGCTTGAAAAAATTGGCTGGTTGACAGAACTTGAGAAGTTATGAATAAAAAGCTTTTTCAACTGGAACGTGTTGAGAAAGACGAAGGATCCTTATGAAGTATTTGCCTGTGGAAATTCGCCTGTCTATTCAATACGAGAATTCTCGTAATTTGAGCATTCTCAAATTGCAATGTGTTCATGTTCAATGTAACAGAATTCGATGAACTTGTTGAATGCGCTTGGATTGTAATTTTCCTATAATTTTCCAATTATCAAAGATTTCATTGCTGTCGTAGGTATTTTTTCGAATGATAAAACTATGAAATACCGGTGTATATTTATTGCGGAATATCAATGAACAAAATCTTAAGTATAAAATTTATTATGAAGAAATATGAACGCCATCAAGCTTGGCTTTTATACCATAATGTTTTCATTATTTATTCTGTTTTTGTGTTAATGCATTCGCAAGATTGAAGTAAATTGTCGTAAAGTATAAGTATATTCAAAGTAATCGTAGTATCAAATTTGATTGACAATTTTATTTCTCTCCAATTTCATTTTCAATCTTCATTTTTTTATTCATTTATTCAATTCAAAATTCAATTTTTAGTTCCAATTTGTGAAGAGAAAAATTCTTTAGAACTTCAAAATGAGCTTTGAAATGTCAAGAACTGTCAAGAATAATTGTTGATGTTAAATGTAGTTCTACCTGAGAAACTAACACCTTTAGACAAAAATTATTGAGATAATTGACTATAAACAAGGCCCCTGACATTTTCTCCTGAAATCAATAGTTGTGTTGAGGTTTGTCGCAACCTCTTTTAGTTTTATTCAATTATGTAAATATCCCAGAAATGAGTGATAAGGGAGAGAATATCGGTGACTTTTTTATGGATCAGGAATGTTTCCAAAAAAGATGGTCGAATCGTGACTTTTTCCTTTTTAAAAATATATTCGGCTCTTACTACTTGTATTATTATTGATTACTATTCGCAACCACCTAATGTAATTATTTTCAGACTCATTTTGAAGTAAATTCTTACGTAATTGATGCCATGAAGCATGCGAAAGAGTCTTTACAGAACTGAACAGAAAACCAAACTGAAATTAATGTTTTCTGTGGTCAAAATCAATTGTCACTTATCATCCGCTGTATATATTTTCTTTGGACGTGCAAGAAAATGGATTGAACAATCTATTCATTACCCCAATTGGTCTTTCCTACTTATATCATTGCAGACTTTTCAACTGATTCAATTACTGCACTCTGTAATTGAAGAAAATAATTGAGAAACAAACATTTAGAGAGAATAATAAAAATTTTGATTTTTATTAAAGGCATCAATAGATAAACTTCTTGATTGAATGATGAATACCGAGACAAAAATTCTTATATGATGATTCAGTTAATTATTATGAACATAGGTAGAAAACGTCCAGATTTTTGCATAGAATATTATTTTTTGTCCCTTAGCAACAGGAGCAGGACCCAACCAATCTTTACATCGCTAATTTGCCATTAAATTTCAAAGAAAATGATGTTGAGGGGCTTTTGGCGCAACATGGACAAGTGATATCGACTAGGATATTGAGAGACACCTGTGGACAGAGTAAAGGAGTTGGATTTGCTAGGTTTGTTCACACAAGATTATTTCAACATTTGACAGAAATTTATCGCAAATATCATCTACAAGCAAAGCTTTAGAGATATTTCTTGAGGGAATTTTTCAAAGTAAATTCGAAGGTCTACAAAAAAAACTTCTTTTGATAGTTTTCGATGCACCTAATCCTCTCAACGATTTTCCCAAAACCCTTGACTATGGACTGAAAACTAGTTGAAAATTTTGATTTTCATTGAGAAACTGACTATTTAAGGAGAGACTACTATGAGTTTTAAAAGTCGCAAGCTATTGGAATGAGATTTCTGACACATTGCAGATCGATTATATATGACTAAAAATAAATATGTAACGCAAAAAAAATTAATTGTTTATTGTTCGCTTGCCACGCAGGTGCTTAAAATGTTAAAAATACTCCAATTGTTGAGCTACAGAGGGTTTTTTTTTTCAAAATTGTTGAAAAAATGTCTACAATAACAATTACGATTTTTTTTTTTTAAATTCTACTCCTACATAGCTAATTTCGTTTTTTTTTTTAAATTAAAAATTGCACTACCATTCATGTAAAATAGCCCAACAAATGTTTCAGAAAGAGTCGAAAATATTTTTTAAATATTATAAGGATATTATTTTTGCCTATTTTACATGAATGATGCAAATTTTTATATTAAACAAAACGAAATTAGCTGTGTAGGAGTTGAATTTCACAAAACTCATTCGTCATTTTTATTGTACTCATTTTTGCAAAAATTTAAAAACACCTCTAGCTCAAAAATTGGAGGCCCTGGACTATGTATAACATTTCAAGCTTCTGCGGGGCAAACGAGCAATAAACAATTAATTTTTTTGCACTAATTATTCGTTTTCAGATATATATAATCGATCTTCAATGCATGAGAAATCTGATAGACTCCAATCGCCCGCGACTCTTAAAACTCATAGTAGTCTCATAGTAGTCCCCTTAACAATGAAAACCATTGGAGCCTGAAATCGTCCGAAGACCACAAAAGAAGTCATCTCCTCCGTTTTCAACACAAAACGTTTGATTTTTGAGAATTGTTAATTTGTTTATTATTTGGCACGAGTAAGATGTGTTTGAGATAAATTTTCATTCTGTTAATGTACATACTAGTACTATACTGGTATTCTATCGGTCATTCGGGATGTTTCATGAGAAATTTCTCTAAATCTCTATTAGAGTTTTAGACTCAATTTACTATTCTACTGTTAAATTAATGTACATTTTCATTAATTCATATGAATGTTTTGTTTGATAATTTAGGATGGAATCTAAAGAAAAATGTGAACAAATAATCTCCATGTTCAATGGCAAAGCACTTGCAGGCTCCAAGGATCCACTTTTGGTGAAATTCGCGGATGGAGGAAATAAAAAGAAACCTTACAAGAGTTCTTTGTGGCGAGAATCTGGAGATGTTAGTACTTCAATGTTGAAGAAATTCACAAGTTTTACAATTTCCTTTTTTCCCAAGCTCCAAACTCCAAAGTTTTCACTTTGGAAACCCCTTAACTTTGCCTCATAATTTCATAAGTTTTCCATTTGAATACAGTAAATTGTATAGAGAAAGTAAAATTCATAAATTTTTCTTCCTATGCTATATAGAATATTCCAGAGGGATATTCATTATGGAAACGTGCGAAACAACAGCGATATTTTTCAGTGAAAACGGTCAATAATAATTCAATAGATTTTCTTAGCGAATGTGCTAATCTTTTTTAGTACATATTTCCTGGCCTATCTTCGTGCGACTCAAGTACAATTGAATGTTTTTGCCTCATTAATGTTATGCCTAATTTTAGGATTGTCCTGTTATTGAGATGAAATTCATTGAATTTTTTATATTGTCTATCCAGTAACCAAAAAGAAAAAGAAATTGATCGGGAAGTTGTTCTTTCGAATCTAATAAACTCCCATGTTTATTTCGAATTTGAAAACGGTCAATTTATATTTAGATATGTGAAAGAGAAGCAATTCTGTGAAAAAAAAATCACTTCATTTTTTAATCCATATTTTTTCCCCTTCATTTATTCCAAGAATGTTTTTTCCCCAGCGAAGCAGTATACATATTGCACATTAAAATTCAGATGTCCCTGGTGAACTTTTATGATTAATAAATACATATCCATTCGGTTTTTAGAACATGACACTGAATTATGATACGTCTGGTGTGGGACAAAATGGGGTTCCAACAGCTCATATGTTGCCAGCAGCTACGTTGGCTCAGTATAGCCGTCATTACGGTCAAGCAGTACCCGGTTATACCGTGCCAGGTACCCCATGGGTCGCCCCATACGTTTTGCAAACCGGACCACCTCATATGCAACAGGTTGACGTGAGTTTTGATTAAAGAAGTGTACTTAGCTATCTTGTTCATTATGAGAATTATCGAGGTTCTTGTTTTGATTAAACTAGATGATGCCTTCGGCGGATCCCAGCAACCCGCAGTATAGTATGATTCCACAGCTTACGACGCAAATGTCGACGCTTCATCTTGGAACCAACGTAAGTATTTTTCATGACTTAAGGATATCCAAGTATCTTTTACAGTTTGGTACAGATCACACTATAGATTCAACCATTTTCAATCATCAAATTTGTCAATAAAATTGCGTGAAAAAATTTTTTTTTTAAATCATGAATATTCGGCATACGAATTACATTTTGCACAGAATTATTAATTTTTTCAAACACTAGCGAGACAAATTTATACTTTGTTATTTTATTTTATTTTATTTTATTTCTATTTTCGTCTTCACAATTAGATTAATTGAATTTTATTCATTCTTATTGTTATTATATATATTTTTGTTCCTTAATTCACAAGTTACAACATTAAATGACGAGGAATTCCCCATAAATAACGTCAGAATACAAATCGACAAACGATTTTCGATAATCATACCTAAAATTTTTAATTTCTTTCTTTTTCTTTAAATCAATTAGTACCAATGAGCTGAAAATCTGAATGAATATGAATATTTTACATCCCCCTGATCTCATTTCAATGGAACCGAAGAAGGAAATTGCAAAGAGAGACCGATCATCATCAATCAGTATCAATAAAATGAAAAAATCTTTTTTTCTTTGTCTTTTCAAAATTTTTCAAATTGATTTTTTCTTCTTAAAAAATGAAGGGAGATTAACATTTCTAATTCCTGTGATCGTATTCCGTTCACAGAAATAGGAAATACGGAAAATGTAGGGAAGGAAAGTCGGAAAAAAATTCTAAAAATCCGTTCTTCAATCTTGAAAATTTAAAAACGTTTTTTTTTTAATAATGAAGAAAAACCAATGTATTTTCTTTCTATTATCTAATTCTGATGGAAGAAAGTGCAAAATGAAGAGAAAGGAAATCAACACGAAAACAGAATTTTTAATTTTTCCATGTCTACGGAAAATTTTAAAATTGATATATTTTTTTTCGAAAATTGAAAAAATATATCAATTGTGAAAGATTAGTAAAAAATTGATTGTTTACAAATTATTTATAGCAAATGCTCGTAATTTTTAAAAATTGCGCTTTTCAAATTATCCCATCAGTTTTCCTCCAAAATTAGTCGTTTTTTTTTTTTTTTTTTTCAAATTAAAAAAATGTTTTCTAACGATTCAATATCGAGATTTAACTTCAGACTTGCAAAGTTAAAATAATAAAATCATTGTAAAATATCCGGAAACTTGGGGTCGAATTTAGTTCAAATGAAAACTGATGCTGGACTACAAAAGTACAAAAGCATTTTACTGGAGATAAAATAGCCATAGTAGTTGGATATTCTTGATATTTTCTGCTTTACTGCTGTCAACTTAGCGTATCAGTAAGATCTACAGTAAAGGCTTCTGAAAAATTAATCAATATATTCTTCGTGAGAACCGGTATTGCTTACAAAAATCCTCTTTCGGCAATTATCTTGAACCTACTTATTTCTGATCTAACATATTGACATAATACGGGCAATTTTATTTTTTAACTTATAACTTTCCATGATGTTACTTTTTTGCAACGAAACGTCAAGTACATTAGTACATGGAGAAAAAATCACCCATTAACCATTTTGCTGTTTCCTTTCGAAACTTTTGAGAAACTCACAAAACTTTGGAAAAAAACGTAGAGGTGTGTTTGCACAGTAATAAAACACTGCGAATCGTTGAATAATGTTAAAACACGATCACATCAATAGTTTGCCAAAAACCTAAAAGAATTGTGAAAATCGACTGAGAAGGGAGAATACATCCTTAAGCGGTAATGGAGCTTACCATCGGAGTAGAACCTGGATTTCAAGTTTATTCGTCGTGAGTCGACTATTTAGCAAATCCCAAATTCTTACAGTATAGATACCAAGATTATTGACGATGTAAGAATTGGGGGTTTGCAAAATAATCGTCTGACGACGAAAAAATGTGGAATCCAATTTCTACTCCGATGGTAAGTTCTATTGTCTCCTAAAAGTTTAAGTGGGGCAATGGAGAAAAACGATTATAGGGTCCAATGGAACAGATGGACAAAATGATCATAAGGATCAAATAGAAAAGTGGAACAGACAATCACAAGAATTGTACCCTTAAAATTGAAGGTTTTTACCCCTCCTTATGTCCGTCCCTTTCATTAGCTCCTCATAATTATTTGATACTTCAGTAATTGCACGTCAAATCCAAAATGAAAAAAATTTCATGTTTCCGATTGTAAGAGAAATGGTTGGTCCGATTTCGTGCATCCAGAATCCCACACTTTGTTACCATAAGACCTAAAATCATACCAAGTTTCAAGTTGCTATCTGGATTATTTTTTAAGTTATCGTGCGAACAAGCAATTTTAGCAAAAAAAGGAAAAAACGAGAATAAAACTACATTGCTCCGGGTGTAATGGTCTTTTTTTCAATCCAATTAAATTCGTATTATCATGACGAGTATTTTGAAAAAAAAAAAAATTCTTCAATCGAGTCATGCCCAGGCGAGTCTGGTTAGGTTTCAATTATAACAATCATGTTGCTCTAGAGGATGACTATGTTGCACATGACCTTGGATGAATTCCTCTAATGATTATTCATTTTTCCCAAATTTCTTATTTTCTAGAGGGAAGAATATCGATTAATTTTTTAATGTTGGTAACTATTGAAGGACTTCACTCAAGGTCATAACTAACATGTTCATCTTCTAGAGCAATATAATTGACATAATTGAAATCTAATGAGGAATGCCTGGGAATGACTCAACTGGGAGAAAGACGGTATTGAAACAATAAATACTTCTCTCAAGTAAATGGATATTTGGTAAAAATAATTTTTTTTCTCAGTGTAAGAGTCCAAATTCGAAAATCGTCACCCCCCCCCCCATTTATTTATATACCTAAATTAATAATTCGAATGGGAAATTTATTCTTTCAACAGTATATCACGGCAAGTCCGCACCCGTACCCCTATACAACTTACCCAGCTCCAAGTATCATCCACACGATGCCACTTGGTGATTCCGAACAGACGAGTAATGCAGCATCACCAGACGACTCTTATCAACAGTACCAGGCACAGCAGCCCAAGTAGGCAACAGTTTATAGGTTAGATCGAATATAGTTTACTAGATCCCATCAGGAAATAGTTCACATTCCATCATTCTCCACGGAACATACTCTTAGGCCAAATCACATTATATTATGTATAAGGCGATAGAACAGTTTTCAAACAGTTCGTAATGAGCAATTTTGGAAAACAAAGTCCAGAGAATTTTAGAGAATAATTGATCCTCATAGTTTCACTCGACATTTTCACATATTGCTAAGATCACCCCATCTTTTCAATGTTTAAAGGAAATTCAATAGAAAATCTCTTTAGGGGGAGCCTACCATAACTTTAAAAGTCTCGGGCTATTAGAATGAGATTTTTCATGCATTGAAGATCGATTATATATATCTAAAAACGATTAGTGCAAAAAAAATATTCAGACGCCGTGTGGTTATTATAATCTAATTCATTCGTTAGTAAATGGACTGTTTCCGTTAATGTTAAAACTTCTCATTAATTTTCCATTCTACTGAATGGAAAATTATTATTCACCTCAGTACAGCCAAGAATAAAAAAAAGTTAATAACAAATAATATTTGATGAAAAAAATTTTTTTTTCCTTGAATGGTGTCAAACAGTGGTTTTTTTACCGTTTCATTTTGCCCCACTCTCCCTTAGTAGACGACAAAATGACCGGTCATTTTCAGTCATTGTTTCCGCCTACCCAATTCTTGCCATAGTATGAGGTGCAATGAGCAATGTTAATGTAAACGAATAACTACAAAAGGCATTTTTATTCTCGAGTATCAAAAATTTTCAAAGCATTTCTTCTGGCTTTTTCTTCCAAGACCGACTCATTCTTTTCGCGACAAAAACTATACTTTATCTCACATATCTTACCACTGTTCTACTGAATTGACTTGAAAAATGACTTATAAGAATTCACTCTTAGAAAATGAGTATTGAAATTCAATTGCCCTAAAATTGTGTTCAGAATATTGGAAATGTGGACTTAATGTAAAAGGTATTCATTTATTTTCTCTCTAGAATCAAGTCGATTTAATCAATGATTTGTACTACCTAAACCAAATTTTTCTCTACTAAATATGTAAATAATTTTTTAGGTACGATTACGCCGAAGGATATATAAGTTAGGGCAGCAGACGAAGAAAATAAAGAATCGTTGAGCCGGAAAGATGAAATAAAGAATGAAAAGAGTCGATTGTACACACAAAAAAATACGAATTTTTTCCTTCTCGACAACAAAATATATATAATTCAAAGAAAAATTGAGGATGAAATAAAAGAATGGTGCATAGAATGATTTTTTTTTCCGTGTGAGGGTAAAACAATACTGATGAGAGAGGAGGAGAAAATGTAATGAAAAGAGAAACTTGCCAGCCATCTTTTATACATTTTACCAAGGAGAAAAGAACAATAATAGTTAAATGGGGAAAATCACAGGAGTTAAGGTAGTATGAAAGTAGTTGATATTTTGCAACAAGTAGGTAAAAGTTATGACATGAGAAAAAAGGAGAATTAAATAGAAAAAATAATTGAAAATGAACCATGGACGATTTGAGACAACAATTGGCGTCATCGTTTCTTTTTTTAGCATTATTATTGATTGATTAATTAATTCATGTTTTTTTATTATTTTTTGTTCGGTCCTAATGGTCGGCATTTTTTTGAATAATGTTCGAAGTTTAATCATTGAATTCGCAATGAAATTGTCGACTTCATGATGACGATATGCTTCCAGGATAAATTTAAGTATTTACGCGTTTACAATGAGAGGAAAAAATGAAATAAAAATGGAAATAATTCAGGAAAGTGCGAATGATAAATGCGTGGATTAAATATTTTACAAACGGAAAGAAAGGTGAAATCATGTAATTAATTAAAGGAATGATAATGCTGCTCAGACGTTGGTTAGATTCTACAGTTTTCCATTCTTCCCCAAATTTAAAAAGGTAGAAAGACAAGATTAAAAAATGCAAAAATTGATAAAATTTGACTTTTATCAATTTTCGTAATTTTTGTATTTTATATGGAGTTTTTCTTTTATTTTTTACAACTGCAGTTTGAATGAGAAGAGGAATAAGTCAAATGGTACTAAATTCTGGGGATAGAAGTATTTTCATTAATTGAATCATTTATTTTAACGAGAATTGACTAATGTTTTTGTAAAAATCGAAATTTTCTTACTCCATTTTTTTACTCTGTTTCGTTTTGAGTTAAGACATTCCAAATTATCGTCATACTTTTTATTTTATTCTTTATCCCTGTATCGAAGTGGTAAAGGACTAGAGATGAGTCGAGATTCTTTATGTATAGTATATTTTGCGAAGATTTGAACCTGGGTTCAGAGGAAAATCGCAGAAGGATTTTTTTCTTGAATATGGGATTACTTGCAAAAAAAAGTCTGAACTTTTTCCTTGCAATCCACTAGTTCTACAGATATTCACAAATTAATTTGCAACATCTCGAACCATCTTCTCCACTCTACTCTCCTTAATTATCAATTTTATTTATTCATTTTCGGGGGAAACAGGAAGGAACCTGAGGAGGAAAAAGCGGAAGTTGTAAACAAAACGATCATGACCACTGGGATAAAAGAAATTGAGATAAAAAAAATCATTTTTAATTGTACAGTGAAATAGCATATTTTTTTTATCATCGTGCCTTTTCAGATAAATACGAAGAAAAAATATGAAAAATTCTGTCAGACTTGAGGGAAAATTTATTACCTAAAAAATTTAAGTGATTAACGAAATAAGAAAGCAATGAATAAACGAGGGGAAATATATTTTTACCAATTGTTGAAGAGAAACGAAATAAGAAATAAATCGAGAAATTAACAAAGAAAATTCTCGAGAACTTTTTCGATATCAACTTTCTAGCTTTCCCATTTTTCGTCATTTTTGACTACTTTTCAATCATTTTATTTATTTACCAAATGTTTTTTTAATAACAAATACGACATGTAGATTTTTTACGGTAGAATTTACAAAAATTCAAGTAAATCGAGGTGAAAATTAAAATAATCAACCGAGGAAAATTAAAAAGTTCAAGATTGTTAGAAAAAGATAGCAGTGAAAGATAAGAATAAAAATTAGGGATAAAGAGGTCAACCTTCTCTTCTTCCTCCTCCTCATCCCTCAGCTCTAGAATAAATCGAACTGAAATCATTCGAGATCAACAAACAATCGATCGCATCGCTAATCCAGCCGAGGGATTTCCCTGCAAAACCCACAGAAAGGACAAAGAAATCATTGATAAGCCAAGAAGAGTAATTAAAGCTTTCTACCAAATAAAACAATCGAGTTTTTCCCTTGAATCAAGACTCGATGAAGACATGATTTTTGTATGATTGCAAGAGTGTGTGAATGATTGATTAGAACGCGGTAGTCAGATGGGGGGAAAAAATAGTCTAGATAGTTTTCTCGAATGTTAAAGAGAAGAATCGAAAAACATTATTAATAATCTGTCAAAGAATTTTCATGATTTCTAAAAGTTGGTGAAAGAAAAATAATTGAACAGAGAATAAAGTGGAATCAATTTTCTTACATCATCTAAAATATCTCAAAAAATACGTGACTTGGAAACATGAGGCTGCACTCATTAGGAAGCCAGGAAAATTTCCGCTGATAAACTTTGGATGACAATCCATTATACCCTGTAACTTCCGCAATTATTCAAGAATTTCACTGGGTATCGAATGAGGTCAATACTAACCTTCTACCTCTCATCGTTTTCGAGATATTCTCTGAGATATGGCTAGATGAAGCAATGAAACAAATACCGATAATGGTTTTTCTAGTTTTTGGACTAATTATGAATGTCAACTATTACTCTATGATAAGACAAATAAGGGGATATGGATCGTGAAAAAGTCACCAAACATCTTTAAGGATAGAAAAAAGGGAGAACAAAAAATAGAAAAAAAACGTATGAAAGATTTTTACACTGTTGAATCTTGAAGTAAATAATATATTTAGTTTATTTTGGTACATCACAATTTGATCGTGTATATGGGTAATGAACGAGTCATAAAGTTTGATCGACTGAGAGACATTTAAAAAGTTAATTAGAAAAAAGAAATAATTTAAAAAAGAAAGATGGAAGAAGAGAAATCAATGGAGAAAGAAAAGAGTGTCGAAATATTTTTTAAGGTACCGATTATTGCACTCATGTATGAGTCATTTAAATGGTAAATTGATGATGATTAAGAACACAAAGAGAAGACGAAGTGATGATGGAAAGTGGAGTCAATGATGTAACGTAAAAATAAATGTAAACGACTAATTCAAAATCCTGAGACTGCAAAAAAAATGAATAAATAACAAAACGACTGCGTCATGTGAGATAAATCTAGGAGGTCTTAGAAAATGATATAAAGAAACAAAACAAATGATTAAATCCTCATGTGATTGAATAGTGAATTTTTGCAGAATTTTACTAAAACGAAAAGTAAAACAAATCTAGAGATCTTGTAATAAACTTAATTGTTAATTGCGACGACCAAAACGAGTTTTTTTGGTGTTGGGGAGGGGGGGGGGGGGTGCAGGCTTTGACTGGAATCGCAAAGAACAATGTTTTGTCTGTTTCAAGACGAAAAAACGAAACAAACAAAATAATAGAGATTGGATTAATGGATGATGACGAGGATAAAACGTCTTTTACTGTATAGGAAAAAAATGGAAGATAATGGCGATGAATTTTTGCGAGTAGTTAGGGATCTTAGAATAATTTATTAATGATTAAAGAAAGAACAAGAATAATTTTGTTTTTTAAGAATTCGATTCTAATAAGTAAGAAAATGCCTAGATTTTAAGGATTATTTATAAGATAGATAGTATTTAGGGCGTAGTTAGGATAACGACTGCCTCCTCTTTACTCGATAGATTGAAAAAATACCCGTTTTTCTATGAAAATGGATGATAAAAATCTGGCAAGTTTCGTTTTATGGAATTGTTTATTTTCGAAGCCATTCTCTGAGCAAGTTTTTTAATTGATGGGCGGGTAATTTTTTTTTAGATACATGAGGTTTGAGGGATGTTTTGTGAATTAGGAAAAGGAATTTTAATGAAGAATGGAGATGGCGAAACCGTTCAGTCTATGCACCTAGCGCCCATCATGACTGACTGTCTATTAATTTATGAATATATTGACGTGTCCTCAGAATAAACAAATGTTATCTCAGAATAAACGAATGTATCTCGAAATTCTGGTCAGGACTCGGGTATCTGCATGGTCAGAAAAAATCGTGAACTGAGATGAAATTTAATACCTGACACTCTTGAGCGTTGAATGAATAGGGTTGATATTAAGAAACCTCTTATATCAATATTGCAGCATATGTAGAACATCAGCACGAGCTCTTTGGGTTTACAAAACAAATTTGAGTGAATAGAGGTTTTATATACGAATGCGGTTTGCAGACGATCTGAAGAAAATTTCTTTTCATCACGCTGTGCGAAAAAGTAACTTTTTAGGCACGCTTCGCGTGACTAAAACGTCCCTTTTCCACACATTGTGATGAAAAATACTGTTCGATACTCGTGGGAAAAGTGTTTTTTGGCTCGTGGGATTATATCACTCGCCTTCGGTTCGTGCTATAAACCTCCCACGAGCCAAAAAACACTTTTCCGCACTCGTAACGAAATATACTATTTTGTCACTGTTGTTACGTTCAGCCCGTGTCGAAAAGTGCCTTTTCGTTTATTAGTAAACGAAAAGTCGAAACTTGTAAACGAAAAACGAAAAATGGCACAGTTCGGCACTCGCTGAACGTAACATCACTAACAAAAAATATAGTTCGGATACACGTGCGACGGGGTGTTTTAACTCGTGTGCACTTGTATCGAAATATACTATTTCAGTCTACTAACTACTGCTTTGTAGATAATGATCATACATTTTATGAGGAGATTGCCAAGGATTAAATGGCAAGGACCGTCTAAAAAACAAATTTTAAAAATTAATATCTTCTGAAATGAGCTACGTGTCTGTGAATGCATCCTATTGATTCAAAATAGATCAACAAGGGTGCAAGGAAAGCCATTCACGCGACAATTCCTTGAAGTTAGAAGTAAAACTGAAAAAAAATAGAAAAAAATAATATATAGCCTATAAATTATTGACCGTCATTTTCATCTAATTAGACAATTGAAGGTCATTTGATTGTATTTTTGAAGTCGATTCTGACGGTCATTCGAGTTAGAGAATGGTTACAAGTTCAACAAGTGATTTGGCCATTCGAAAAAATAAGACCGTCATTTTGGATCATTATTTCTAAGGTTTCCAACTTTGTGTCACACTCACATAGCTATCGCGTCTTCGATTCATGTTTTTTCATCAATGTTGATTTCAAAAACAATCCAAGAGTTTTACAAGAGGAATACCAAGATGCAATAATGTATTTGGGAATTCTGAAATACATTGTAACTAATTTTCTTGAGATACCTTTGTTTTAATGGAACACGTCGATATGAATAGACATGTATTATGCATATTATTATTTTACGAAGCAATAATTAGTTGGATCTATGAATGAAATTGTACACAACAAAGTACATTTTTCAAGCAAGTAAAAATGAAAGAGGAATAAGAACTATTGTTGGCTGTGCTCCGCGGGTCGGGTGCTTGGGCTGGTCGGCGATGATAATTTCATTTCTTCAATAATTTTATCATGGCGTGATGATTACGTTGTGTGGATTAAAATGAATGAATCCACAGTGAGATGGTGAAACGGGATAAGGCCGTATTCGGCACAACAGATGCGTGTTTGTATAACTTCTCGAATAACTTATCCTACAGTTTGAAATGGAAATTAATCATCAAGTCACCTTCTCCCTCTGCGTTTCCTCACTTCACTATAAAATTAGAGAAGAAAAATTCATGAATAAGTAATTTTTGCTTCGAGTTTTATTCTGTAGTAGAATAAAAAAAAGGCTTCACGAACAAAGTTTAATTTCAAGGGGAAGAGAAAATAATTGAGGAGACAGAATTACTTTAGAAAATGAAAATGAAACAAAAAAAACATGAAAAAAACCCAATTTTGTAGATTTTAGAGTCCATTGAGACGTTAGTCCTTAGGTTTTAAGGTTTAAAAAGGTAGTTAAAGGTAAACCGAAACGAGAGAAAAAATGATCGAAAACTTAAAAAAAAACATACATTAAAAAAAGATTAAGGAATTTAAGTGAAGTGTAGGGTGTTTTTAAGTAATGTTTAAAATGCGAGAATGACTAGGATTAATTAAAAAGAAATTTCCTTTTCGATTGTATGCGAAAAAAGAGGAAGATAGAGATGAGCGGTGGAGGGAATCAGGGGAGAGATGAACATACGGCTTAAGAATTTTCTTCTATTGAAAATAAGAAAGAAAGATGATGTGATGATGAATTAAAGACTCCTATGGTCGTGATTAGCTTTCGTTTCAGTTTCTCTTCGATAAAAAATGGAAAAAAAACATTGAAAATGATGTTAGGAGAATAATTAGAGATGAAGTGAAAGAAGAAAATAGTTACAGATTCTTCTTCTTCACGAATATTTTTATGCGGGACTGAAACGAGGCTTATACGACAATTAGGCAGGAGACTCTTTGTACAGTCTTTTTTCTTTTTTTAATTAAAAAACTTTTCTTCTTCACCTCTTTTATTTTGTTATTTTTGCGTAATTCATTGTTTTTAAAATAAATAAAAAATGAAAAAAAAGGAATAGAGAGTAGATTTGTTGCAGAGAGATCGTATGAGTGGAAGAGTGTTTCTAGATTTTAAGGAAAAAAAGATGGAGTGATTAATAGTGAATCTTTTTATCTTTTTTTTTTGACAAGAATAGACTTGTAGTCAAAATGACAAGAAAAGAAACAAAATGAAGAATTGTTGTTTTTCCTTCTTTAACATTCAATTTTCCATTAATTACAGTCATGGTCTCTGTCATTCGACAAAAATCCCGGATTCTAAAAAATCTCCAACGCACAACTAGTAAATAAATAATTTTCGAACACGATTGGTGTTTGTCGGACCATTTCTCTCACTCGGATTCCAACCGAATGAAATGCAATATTTTTCGAGGTAAAAATAAGTTTGGAGCTACTGCATAAGTTCAACCAGAGATTTCTAATGTTTTAAGTAGAAGGTCGAAAAAATGAAGTTCAATCAAAAGTCCATTTATACATGTTCCTTCTATAAACTGTAAAGGAGAGAATTCCAATCAAGCAAAAGAAGTTTTTTTAAATTGAATGATAGACTTTATTTATAAATTTGAATCATCAAAAAATGAGCAGAAAATAATTTAATGAAGTGTGTTGCTGGATTTGAATATTCTGACAGTATTATCGGCGCCCCCGGAAACCATAAGTTTTGGATTCGACCAGTTGCAGGAGAAAACCTTGTCTTCGTGTCCCGATAGCTCATAAAGTGGTGCTGTTGGGCTGAAAAATAATAATTTATTGGATAATGTTTTGGGGAGATAACGAATAAGGAGATCCAAATCTAAAAATCTATCTCTTGAAAACTCGAGTTTTTTTTTCTAGAACTGTATTTCTTTCGTTAACGAGAGTCCATTGTTACTAATTGGAGTAATCCTATTCAGTGACATAGTAGGGTGAACAGGCCAATTGCTGGACGATTAAGGGAAATTCAAGTTTCGTGGTAGGATCTAAAAAAAAAGAATTATCTAAATGGGGATATGATGGCCTCCATACCTTCAAGAATGTGTTAATTAGCAGAAAAAAATTATTTGAAGTGAAAATAGCAAAACAACGAATAATTAAATTAAGAAATAGTTGAATGCCGCCAACCCCTGATTTCTGGACGACTGGGCCATATATTTTTTTATCTATTATTAAATGTCAATCAATAGAAAAAAAATTAATCATATAATTATACACGAGCAATATTATCGAAAGGTGAAATAATCAGTACAATTTTCATTTGATTTATGGAATATTCAATGCAAGTTGAAATCGCCCAGTAATTAAACCCCCGTCCAAAACTTGACCTGTTTACCCTAGTAAAATGGGATATATTTGTAATAGAGTTAAACTTTTCAGACTTCTCGAAATTGAAGTGTGATGGCCAAATTTTTTACGGATATTTTGAGTAGCTGTCAACTTCGTTCTACTGAAAAGAACCTAATACAGTAGAGACTTCGTATAAGATACCTTAGGGACAATAGGAGAGAGGAATTCCGGAAACCCCTAGGCTCCCACTACGCGCGCCCGTAGAGGAGTCAAATAGGGATCAGCGGGTTTCAAATAAGATACCTTGCTCGTTGCGCCCGAATTCAATGTAATTTTCATTTTTACCGAATGAATATCGATAACTAATCAATTTATGTGTTTAATATTTTGAATTTGTACCGCCTGCGTTCCCTTTTCTGTCTGAACATAACCCCGCGTGATAGAATGACAGCTGATGTTGGGGGATTGTTGATGG